TGGACCCTCGGCCCCGAAGGCGCTGTGTAGGAACAGATTCTACGTGCGGACTGGGGCTTCAGGAAAACAGGCTAAATCCATCCGACAACGCCCATCTTGTGCTACTCTTGTGTGCCTCTGTCAGAGACCAGTTAGAACGGCGAGAAACGGGAAGAGCAACTGTTTGTACAGAGCCACAGCCGTCATGGGGCGCCAAGAACCGAGCGTGACATCTTCCTCTGCCTCTTGGTGGGCTCTGTTTGCAGCCAAGTTGTGAGTACGACTGCTCCAATCTTCCGCCGCCACTACAGCCCGGGCTGGGTGGCAGAAGTGGCCTGTTCAAGGAAGAAAGCCAACTCAAGGCCACCTAACTCCGTCCCGGAGCACACGGCAGGCAGGGTGGAAGCTTGCTCAACCCAAACTCACGGCAGTTAACACACAAGGGGGCTTCTCCATCTCCGTCCCTTCCGCCCGACCTCTCAAGCTGTCTGATCGACACAAAGGACAAAACCCAAGTAAGGTGGGACAAATCGTGCAAATTAGAAGATCAGTGGAGAAACAGTCATTCTACAGATACGCCTCTATTCTATTAAACCTTACACAGCTGCATTTCCTTCCACAGGCATCACGTTCAGGATCAGCAACACGGGAAAATGTGCACGTCCCCAGAGAGCTCTTAACCTCAGGACAAGCAGGCCCCCCACAGCGAGGGGCCTGGTCCAGCAGACGGGACTACAAATCAAATTGACTGTCCAGTCATAGGACCTGTTCATTTGTTTTCACTGGCGCGGGGGAGCGATACACAGACTATGGTTCATCTGTGTTAAGTCAGGTCAAATCTGAGAGGATTTCTTCCCCTTCACATAATTTACACTGCTTCAGAGCTGGGTTTAAGTGAAATCCTGCTTTTCCACTGATGTCTGTCCCAAAATTGGTCCCCGATTTCCGGCAGGAGTCTTACCTTAGAGCTGAACTTCGAACGTCCTGGTCTGCTAGTGACTCACGGGTTCAAAGTTCTGCCGTGGCTTTAAAGGGCCAAGTTCTGCCTTCTACCATTAATCCTCTGTCCTGCGCTGGTCCCCATTTCACAGATGGACAGAAATTTTACCACCCCTTAGGGTTCTCAATCCACACGAGCCTTTTCCAGGATCCGGCTGAGCCATGGCTCCTGATTTAACTGCCCGAGTCTGAGCAGGGGCACTTCTCGACTGTCAGGCTGCAGTACTAGGCTTCACCAGCAGGGGGGCGCTCAGTCTGCTACACCGTCCGCTCCCCCGACTCCCTGAGTCCAAGGCTCCCGGTTACACGCTGTCATCCGCTGAACGCCTAAAGGAAGCCCTGTATACTGAACATCTCAAGGACACCATGTCAATACACGATAAAAAACCGGAAAGACCATGAAGCCCAAGCCCCTCTCTACCCATGAGAACCAGCAGAGGCTTGCAAACACTTCTGAACACAAAGTACGCTGAACTAACACCCGGCCGCTCTCAAACTCCCTCGACTTTGAAGATAACTCCGGCAGAAAAGAGTGCAGGGATTTATTCTTCTAGTGTTTAGTCAACAACAACCAAAGAGAAAGACAGACACACATGAAAATAACAAAATACAATGAAGGGAAGTCTACCTAAAGGCACTTACAATGACTAGAAGGAAGCACTACTGCTACTTTTCTTTTAGAATAAACACTCTAGCACCCGAAGCAAGACATAAGGCTGAAGCGAATACTACCCTTTCTGCACCCTTTTCCCAGGGCCTGGGGATCACCGGGGCAGACACCCAGAACCAAGTCGTGCCTGCACTCACGCTGCTGGTGCGAGCAGAGTGGTGAAGAGCGGTGGCCGCAGACCGTGGAGCCAGCATTCAGCTCAGAAGAAAAATAATGGGTTTCAGGTGCAATGCCCAGGCCCAGGAAAATGGTATTAAATGGGACACCGCAAAGGAACGACCCCCCTCAAATGGTACCTAAACATTCATGCTAGAGGGCATGCGTCCGTTTCTCTGGGAAGAGGGACGCCAGACCCTGAAAAGGTTAAGAGCCACGGTGCCCCACAAAACAAAAGCGAGGGCAGGTCACTGCAAGGAACGTTCATATGAACTGAGGCAACACGGCTCACTCTCTCTTCCCAAGTGGTGATGCGCCGACGGAGCGACCCTCTACAACGGAGCAAAAGCCTCACAGCTGGTCCTGGGACAGCATGAGAAAGAGGCAGAGTCTGGTGCCGAGGTGAGAAAACCTGACCTACAAAACAATGCTAACATTTGTGTTTACACTGGATCGTTATCGAAGATTCCTCGAGCAATGAGAACATTCTACGACCAGAAGAGCAGTTGGTCTCAAGCTCTAATTTTTAAAAAGATAACTTTTGCTTGAGTCTGTTTTACTTGGTGAGGAATGCTCATGGGAGGGGAACCCTCCCCCTCCCCAGCCTGGATCCTTCTCGAGCCACGGCTACTTGCCCCGTCAGGCTTCCTGTGCTCCTACTTCGACTGGCACTTAAATCAAACCGCTGACTAGGAAATTTCCCACAAAATCTTGTTAGGGTGTATTTCAGTTTGTAATGATTCCCTTCTACTAATGTGAAGGGGGTGTCCCATGTTCTTCTGAAAAAGGACCACACTTGGACAGACCACGATGTCGGGGTAAAAGTGTTTACTACAGGCAAAGCCGGAATGGGGTCCCCCCAGGCACACTCAGGGGCAGGCACAGTCCCGGGAGAAACCGGGCCGTTCTCCTACAATCCCAACCTGACTTGATGGTATGTCCCTGAACAAGGTTTTTAAACCAGAGCAAACACAAACGTTTGCATGAACTGCTGACGTTTTAAAACGTGAAACTGAAGCCAGCAACAGTAATGACAAGAGCCCAGGACTCTGAAGCAATTCGGAGTCTGCAATGGGCCGCGCTAGGCGGGGACCCTCGTCTGGCAGGAATAGCCTTCATCGTTTTGGTGGCGAGGGTGTCCAGTTGGGAAGGTAACACCCTAATGTAAGTCCCTGCAGACACGGGGGGAGCCACGAAAACCAGTAAAGAACTCGAACGGAGTGACACGGTCTAAAGGAACAAGACACAGAACAGTAACCCAAACTGAGAATTTCTACAGCAAACACTGCTGTCATCAAGGGCTCATCTGGTCCGCTCCTCAACCCTGGAGTGCGGTGCTCGATTATCCCATTTTACAGATAAGGAAACAGGCGAATGGCGCAGCTCTCAAGGTGCTGTGGGGTTTGGATCCTGGCAGGCCAGCTCTGGAGCCCACCACCTGAGTGAACACATCGCCCCCATCGAGGTGGCTTCAACTGAGATATCCTTCATGGTTCCCAGAGGAAACTGCACTCCTAACGGCCACAGGCGCCGAGGCCCGGCACCGCGCTAGGTGCTCTGATGAACAGCCCTAGTTGGGCTGACGATAGTTACACTGAAAAATGGGGCATATATTTTAATCCTACAGATGAGGAAACCAATCAGAGGGGTAAAGCATGAGAGCTGACCTCCAAGTTAATGCAAGGGATGTGGTGCTGACCTCACCCAGTCAAAAATCTACGTACTGGGGCACCCAGGGGGCTCAGTGGGTTAAGCGTCTGCCTTGGGCTCAGGTCATGATCCCGGGGTCCTGGGACCGAGCCCCACGTCAGGATCCCAGCTCAGCAGGGAGTCTGCTTCTCCCTCTCTCTCTGCCTGCTTGTGCTCTCTCTCTCTTTCTGTCAAATAAATAAATAAAATCTTTTTTTTTTAAATATACATATAACTTTTGACTCCCCCAAAACTTAACTACCAATAGCTTACTGTTGACCAGAAGTCCTACCAATAACCTAAACAGTTGGTTTATGCATGTTATACATACTATATTCTGTATTCTCATAGTAAAGAGGGAGAAAAGAAAATGTTATCAAGAGAATCATAAGAGTAAATACATTGACAACATTGCACCGTACTTATTGAAAATAACCGCGTAGGAGTGGGCCTATACCGCTTAAACCCGTGTTGTTCAAGGGTTAACTGTAATTCCAAATTCTATTTCAACAGCAAGTGACATATGGAATCTGAGTTTCAACTCGGGCTCATCTCACTACGAAGCCCGAGTTCTGTCTGTTCAGTCAGGTCCTAGGCATCCCATCAGTCCGGAATGACGGCGACTCTGGCGTCATGCTGGTACCTGAGACACTCTGTACTATACATAACCACAAAGCAAGATTACTCGACTTCAGCACTACTAACATTTTGGGTTGGAAAATTCCCCATTTGGGGGCTGCCCTGTACATCCAAGGAAGTTTAGTGTCATCCCCACTGCGACGCATTAGATACAGCAGCCCCGGAGCTAGTCCTTGAGCAACTGAGAAAGGGGAGAGTCGGGGCAGAGACACTCCCCGGTCTCAGCTGTGGAGGGAACCGTGACATTTACTCTGACTCGTCTCATGGCAGTTCAACAGGAAAGGAAAGATAACACCAGCTGAACTGCCAAGACACAGAAAGGAGTAACCAGGTAAAATTCAAATGTGCACAACCATACGGAAGTTTTTACAGGACACCTTCACTGGGAACTAATTAAAATTACTACCCAACACACTCTGAAAGACAAAAGAACTCGGCATTCTAAGTTAGCAAATTAACTGTCACTATAATTTAGTAAAATACATGTCAATCTTTATATGAAGAACCCAGAAAGGGCCTTTCATTTCCCCGGAAAATTTATACATGGAGCACCTTTTTGTATTAGACGCATTTTATAGCTTCTCACGTCCTGTTGTAATCTTTCCTTTTCAGAAAAGCTCGAGACTTTCCTAACTTGGGAACGAGGGCTGCTTATATTAACACCGGAAATCAGATATGTTCAAACCACACTTCAGGGATATTTCTGTACAAAAACAGACAGTGGACTAGAATCAGAATGCCTTTTACCTTAAAGAAGCACGAAGTTTAAGCAAGTGTAATCAAATGTGAGGCGGAACATTTAGGCCATCAATTTCTCTTCCTTCCTCACTCTGTTCAATGTACATGTGAACAGTAAGCAGCCACTCACCTGAATGACCTTATAGAAGTAGGCGTACTGCCGAGCCGTGTTCTTATATTGGCTGAAGACGTCATGGATAGCTTGTGTGGACTGGAGGTCTCGGACTTCATCTTCCTCAAAGTAGAGAGGAGTGTCATACTCGCTGGGGAGGGTCTGAATGTAGGGCTGCCAGAAAGAGTTAGGGTCGGCTCGCTCACACAGCAGGTGAAAGGCCAGTGTGATATTTCCCATAGCTTGAAGAATCCGGTCTTGAGAATATAAGGGCCCTGAATTAACCCAGAAGTTAACAGCGTTAAGTTCCAAAAAGCGCCTTAAAAAGTATTCATTCAAAATATATATTAAAGTTACAGAAATAACTGGAAAGTTTTGTAATATTTAAAGTAACATGCAACTTTCTTCTGACATTCTTCTACTATGTCAGATTACAAGCATGCAAAACAATGTGAATTTGGGGGAACATTTCACTAGCTTGAGAAAACACCCAAATATGGTCCTTAGCACCACAAAATGAAATTTCATATTTTTATCATTTGCACTTTGCCTTGAACAGTCAGAAATCATTCTCACCCAACACTGAATTTTTAGCAGATTCAACAGTCATTAGTAATTTTCGTGGAACCCATAAAAATAATTCTTCTGCCTAGGAGAAAAAAAATAAGAAAATCATATAATCATCAAAACATGTCACAATCTTCAGCCCCCTTCATCCGCAGTCAGAAAGCCAATCACACAACCATACGTGAAATACTGTTTAAGGCTGCACATTAGCACTCTGTTTCTAACTATCAAATGTACTTTTATTTTTTTTTTTAAAGATTTTATTTGAGATAGCAAGACAGAGAGAGAGCATGAGCACGGAGGAGGGGCACAGGGAGAGAGAGAAGCAGGCTCTCCACTGAGCCGGGAGCCTGATGTGGGGCTTGATCCCAGGATCCTGGGATCTCGACCCAAGCTGAAGGCAGATGCTTAACTGACTGAGACACCCAGGCGCCCCGAAATGTATTTTTAAATGTAAGTATTTGTGGTTTACTTAGATAAGTAGAAGCAGAGTTTAAAATCCTACTTCCAAGAGAAAAACTAACCATAGGGGCACCTGGGTGGCTCAGTTGGTTAAGCGTCTGCTTTAGGCTCAGATCATGATCCCAGGGTCCTGGGATCGAGCCCCACATCAGGCTCCTTAGTCAGCAGGGAGCCTGCTTCTCCCTCTCCCTCTGCCTGCTGCTCCCCCTGCTTGTGCTCTCTGTCAAATAAATAAATAAAATATTTTTTAAAAAAGAAAGAAAGAAAAACTAACCATATATATTGAGAAAGCAGATGAAAAAGACGGGACTTTCAACTTTAATCTGAAGTACACATAGCCATCTGGAGTGAAGCACAAAACTGCTCTTTGCCGCACTTACGTTTGTTAAAGTTCAAAAAGCAAAACAAATCAAACCTCTATCTCCAACAAAAACCTGAACCTGTCGACGTAAACTGCTCCTGCTATTGCATTTTTGAAGCCAGAGGAACATTCCTTCCTCAATATGCTTGTCTTTTGCACAACGGTTACCAGCAAAAGCACAAGTCTCTAGGACATATTTTGGGTTACTGAGTTTTTTCCCAAAAATATTATTTCTTGCCAATATGAGAGATTTCTTTTTGGTATGTGCTGTATATGTACCTATACAGCTTACAACATGCAAAGAGTAGTGCCTTGACTGTGGTGACGATGTCACGAGCATGTGCACACGTCCAACCCGTCACAATGTCAACACTGAACATGCAGTTTTTTCCCCCTTATACCTCAATAAAGCTTAAAAATGCACATGGTGAAGACAGACCACAGCTAAGATAACTGGGGCGGCCTCCACAGAAATGATGCTTCTCGGATATACAAGAAGAATGTGCGACATTCTGGTTACTCTCGCCTTCTGCCAAGGTCTACCATTTGGATTCTGTTTATGCGTGTCTCTTCCCCTACTACAGATTATAAACATCATGAAGGAAGAGACCTCGGTTTTTTTGGAAGGCTGGTAAAATAATGAGCAAGGTACTATTCACATACTAGACATTTAATAGGTATCTAGTAAACTGGTACATGCTTTATCAACGTATCAATGAAAGGTTAACTACAACTTGACCAAAAGCGTTGCCAAGGTTTGAGGGGGCCCGAATAAATAACACTCATTTCCTCCATCCAAGTTCTGAACCCACTGAGAGAGACACAAGACGACAACAGATGGTCACCCAAAATATCACCTACTGAATCCCAGAATTAGACCGACTCCCCCACCTAGTTACAGGCAGAACTGGAGCCCCACGGGCCTCCCCACGTGTGGCCTGCCCTGTAAAGCACACAGAGTGGGGAGAGCACAATGGATGCATGTGGGCAACCAGCTCCCACCAAGAAACAGGCCCAGACCAGTTCCTTCTTCCCAAATCATCAGACAGATTAGGTTACACCTCCTCACTAAGAGAGGCAGGACTGAGGGGCAGAGAGAGGCTGGGAATGTCAGGGTGCTGCTGCTCCCTTCATCTGTAAGGAAGGACCCAGAGCAGAGGAAAAGCATTTGTCCCTTAGCAGACGTACACTGCTCCTCTTTCCCCTTCCACTCTGGTAGGACGGTGTCAGTAGGTGGCACTGCCAACCACTCAGTTACCCCCTCCAGAAAACCAGTAAGCACCCTGGACCCTGCCCACCCTCCACCCCAATGCCCCCACCTCCACATCCACTCTGTCACAGGTCCTGTGCCCTCCTCTTCCTAACTGCCTGAGCCCACATCCTTCTCTTGAAGCCTCAGAATCCTTTGAGGCATGTTCTGTGGTCTCCTAACAGAGGCTCTGAAACATGAGCTGACTTGCCCCAGCTCACTGGTTAACAGCACAGCTCCCAGGGAGGATACACCGGAGGGGGCTGCCTAGAACACTGGCAAGGCTCTTCCAGGCCCCTAGTTAGCCCAGAGACCCCGCAGCAGGAAGCGGAGTGTTAACGGCACGCTGCCTGTCACCTATGAGGTCAGAATCAGCCCAGACACCTGTCTCCACATCCTGTGTCCGCCCCGTAGCACAATCCAAGCATGCTGAGGGTCCCTGAACCAAACGATCAAAACTCACCTTGATATCTCTCGTCGCTCTCAAACCAAAGCCCTCTTCTTTGAAGTTGACCATTTCAAAACCCTCAACGGAGGCTCCATTTTCAGAGGCCCACTTCATTAGGTCAGGAAAGTAATCTTCTCTTTTTCCATCAAAAGTAACAGACAGACCTGTTTCAATCCATGTGTCAGAAAACAAGAGCTACATTTAGGACCCATATCATTCTTTCTGCTCTCAGAAACTAAAAATCACACACTGAAAATAGTGATAACGCTATAATCTTGAAATCAAAACTCATCACCAGGTAGAGACTTATGGGGGTGAGCATTCTGTAATGTATGCAATACTGACTCCCTGTGATGTACACCTGAAACTAATACGATATTGTATGACAATTAAGCTTTAATTACAAAAAAAAATCTTTAAAAGCTTAAAAAATAAATTGTTTAAAAATTGCTTAAATAAACTGAAAAGGACTGAAGTCATACAACGTTCTCTGATTACACCATAATCAAATTAGAAATCAACAAAAAAAAAAATCTTGAAAATTCCCAAATATTTGGGGAAATTCAACAGAACACTTCTAAATAGCCCCGAGTCAAAAGGAGAATCCCACGGAAAGAAAACACAAAACAACAGAACAGCAAGTCACCAAGCACAGTACACATCCTAACTAGTGGCAGGAAAGGTGAATTACAATCCTAAACTCCAGTCTGCTGTGGAGAAGCATTTGCTGAGCCCAGGACACAGGACTACTGACTGCTGGGCTCGGCGAGGCGACACGGTGGAAAGCGGAGGGCTCTACCACCTCACACGTAACAGCAGCCACCCCACCCCCCCCCGTTAAGGCAGGCATGCCCAGTCTCATAGGCAGCTTTGCTTCAACAAAATTCCCAGGAAAACAGAAATCAGTAGCCGACATGTGCACAGGAGGCGCACTATAGGCCTGATTCTGAGAGCACAAAACTGGTCAGCTCTGCAACCGAACATGGCGGTACAGTTTAAATGAGTTGGATCATGCATATCTACAAAGATAACAAAATATAACATTGTGTTTTTAAAAAAATTCAAGTGCTCTGGGGCTCCTGGGTGGCTCGGTCAGTTAAGTGCTTGACTCTTGGGTTCAGCTCAGGTCATGATCTCAGGGTCCTGGGATTGAGCCCCGCATCGGACTCTCTGCTCAGTGGGGAGCCTGCTTCCTCCTCTCTCTGCCTGCCTCTCTGCCTAGCTGTGATCTCTGTCAAATAAATAAAATCTTTAGAAAAAGCAAATAATGAAAACAGAACAAAGGATGGAGGGAGGGATAGGAATCAGATCAGCAGGTGGGAAGGAGGGAGAACTTGACTGGTGGGACTAATCCAGTTTGGGTAGAAGATTCTTAGGCGTTGTGTTATTTTTTGGACTTTTCGGCAAGTTTGTGATATTCAAGGAGATGAAAAGCCATGCAGAAGAAAAACTAGATTTATCTGACAAATGAAAGGAGAGGAACAGGAACTTCACAAACGTGAGGAGCGGGGTATGGAGCCCAGCCCAGGTGCCTGTGGCCACGCCAACACAACACCATCGGTCATCACCTGGGTCTGGGCAGCAGGACGGCCCGGCACAGGCAGCGCCACACCGCATATGCAGAAAGCTGATTTTGTTCGGGACCTTCTGAGACAGAAGTCACTCTTTGCTGAGAACTCAGGAACACTCTCACCTCAGGGTGAGTTGCAGTTAGCGGTCTCTGCTAACAACAGACACTCAGGACATTCAAAAACTGCCCCACTGTAGATCTGGAGAGCCAAGACTGGCAGTCTACCATTTAGAGCAAAGAAACACATTTGAAAGGAACCTGTCACCATCTGCGGTTCAAGACCATCTAAGCTGAAGACCGCATGTTTACAGACGTACACAGGAGAGCAACGAAACCTTTTTTAAACCTTGTTTTAAAAAACAAACCCTCTTCTGACTCACTTTCGTGGCAGTAAATAAAAATTTAAAAACCCTAACCCTAAGAAGGTTCTTCTGACCCTTTTAAACGCAGGCTACTTATTATGTTTTCTCCTTCCACCTTCCATGTCGTCCTGCATACCAATCTTTATTTTTTGTGCTTTACGGAACAAAAACAATAGGTATATTGAATAGGCTTTTTCAAACTGACACTTGGCCCCATTGCCGGCCTGGCTGAGAATCATTAAGACGCCTACTGAATACACCCTGTAAAAACACAGCTTCAGAAATAGAACTATATCTCTTATTTAACCAAGACAGGTTTGAGTTCTTCATAAATCCTGCTAAGACATTAATCTATCAGTGTGTATCTGTGTGTCGACCACTCATGGCATTATGTACTGACCTCAAACCCTCAAGGAAACACAATGTGGAAAAAACAGATCTAAATATATATTTCAAAAAAAATAAATAAAAGTTGTGTCATTTTATTTATTTAAAGATTTTTTATTTGAGAGAGAGACAGAATGAGCGATGGGAGAGGACCAAGGGAGAGAGACAAGCAGGCTCCCTGCTGAGGACACCCAACGTGCAGCTCGATCCCAGGACCCCGAGATCATGACCTGAGCCGAAGGCAGGCACTTAACCAACTAAAGCCACCCAGGTGCCCCAAAAGTTGTCACTTTAGCCCCTAGATACAAACACTTTCCCCCATGGCTCAACATTTTTACCCTTTCCAATGCAGGAAGCAGCACCTCAGAAATGGGAGAGATCCTGGGACAGCTTTCTAGTACATCTCTCCCAAACTCCGAGCCTCTTCCACTGTGACCTTCTACTGTGATCTTCCACAGGCAAGAATGACAGCGAGGCCTTAGCTAACCTCAAAACATTTCTGACTTGTGCCAAGTCTTTACATGATTCTACTAAAATAATTTTTCGAGAAAACGTACCTTTTTGTTTTTTTCGTATTTTCTCGACTAGAGACCGGATCTGCACATACTCTTCCCATTCCTTTCCTGGGCTGGGTGCGGGACTACTGCATTCTGTAACACAAAAACCACGGCACTCAAACACTGCTTGCTTTCAACTTCACCAGCTAGTCTGCAGCACAAAGAGCGCTGGGGTTTTGTTACTGCTGCTGATTTCCTTTTAAAGGACAAAGATATCACAGCCATGATGATAAACATGGGAAGTATAAACCAGGTATACTTTTCAAAGCATATAAACCCTCCAAAGCCATCCACGTGCCACTTACTGAGCTGGGACTCCCATACCTAAGTGTGAGCACTGAGCCTGCAGCTATCTTCCTCTTGCTGCTCTGAACAATCTTCCTTCCTCATTATATACTTGAACATGGGAAAATCTAAAAAGCAAGGCTAAAAATGCAAAACATTTCCCTAAAAACTCTTCTGGATGGATTTAAAAAAAAAAAGGTAATCTTAAAAGTCAACGTTTCTTTCTAGTTAAATCCTAGAACAATGGCTCTCTAAAGCAACCAGTTATATTGGACATAAGGACAATTACTCAACAAACATTTCACATCCATGTGTAAGGCTCTATAATAAGCACTCTGGGGGAGTCGCAAAAAGAGATGGCACAGGCACTGCTAAAAAGGAAGCGGAGACTCTGCTGGAGGGCCAGAAGCAAAGACCAGCCCTCAAGAATGGTGCCGGTGGTTCTGGAAGGCTGTGACCTGGACACCTGGCCTATCAGCATGATCTTTCCTTTTTAAACAACTGTATGAGTTTAAGGAGAGAGCCTTCTTCCCATGGCCATCTTTGTTCTCTGAAGAAAAGAGTATATGTGGTATATAATTACCACCACCAAGTCATAAGGCTGGGCTAACTCCTAACTATTAAGGTTAACCAGTCATTCTTCTACCAACAAATACCGGCTGGTCCTGCACTACAAGAAGACAGAGCCTATCTGCAAGCTGCCTGCAGTCCAGTGCGGGACAGAGGCGGTAAGCAGTTAGTACCTCAGTGCTCTACGGGGGCTCCACACTGCTCTGAGGGCCACAGGGGTCCACAGGAGCATCTGGGGAAGGACCTAACCCCAACTTGGTTGCTGCCTGCTTCTGGCAGGGAGAGAAAGCTAAATTTTTATTTGGGGTTTGACCTGTCTCACGTGAACAGAAGAGGCAAGGAAAACAAGACAGTGGAGTGAGCAGAGTGACCACAGCTAAGTCTGGAACCTATACAGCACCCATTTAAATTCACAATTAAGAAGTTACCAATTTATACAAACTTACTAAAGCAAGTACAAGCACTTAATAGATACTTAGTTTCCTTGAACCAAGAAACTGGAAAACTATTACTGAATCACTGAAACTAAAGGGGAGCCATTCGAACAAGGGGGCAGAGCTCCAAAGGTCTGCACCTGAGGCCTGATAGCCACGGAGCACCTTGATGTGCCACAGCTCGCACGGCCCTCCCCTCCCGAGATGGTTTTCTGCTGTAAACACGAAGACTCAGAGGGTTTGCGTGATTTGTCCGTGGTAGTCAAGTAGGTCCCCGGAGCCCCCAGAAGCCCATGTTCTGGGTGGTTCGGTGTTTCATTCAACCCTCGTTAATCGCTACCCACTACCAACATCCCCGGCTTTACAGAAGGAGGAGACCGAGGGTCAGAGAAGTTCTGACCTTGCCCAGGTTGCGTGGCTAGCAAGCTGGGATTTGAACCCAAGCCTGTTTCACTTCCTCACTGCGCCAGAAACTGTCCCTCGCAGCCCAAGGAAGTGAAGGCGTGAAGGCGTGAAGCCCCACTGCCCCTCAGGAAGGCAGGAAGCCCTGGGCAGAACTTACTCTGCAAGAGCTCACTAGTCAGGTTCAAGGTTTCCTTCGGCGACACACTTGCTGTAGCACCAGTGCCTGATTTTTGCGTTTTCACTCGACTCTTCTTACCCATTTTCTGACTGTAGAGAAGAGAGAGGAAAGACAAAAAGCGTTACATCTCCAAAGAATCAAATCAAATAACAAAATGTGGCACAGCAGTGGCTTAGCCTCGAGAGACTAACATCTTACCTCGTGTGTGCCATAGTCTGAAGTTTCCTTCCAGAAAAAGAAATGTGTACTAAATATTAGTATTTGGAGACTCTCAAATGAAAAAAAAAAATCAATTTGTAGTCTCTGGAAGAAAAGTTCATTCCTTTTCACCTACACAAACTGCAGTACAGGCAAATTTTACTCTGGAATTTGGTCAGCTTACACAGATTCTACTGTGTATACTAAAATGCATATCCCATGACACGAAATGACAAAGGTTTTGTATACACACATGTGCCACAAACTGCCATATGGACGCCAAAACCTCCATCTCCTACCGCCAGGAGGAGAAAGAATCTTGGGAAGACTAGATTCTTTGGAAGAGTCATCTCCCGTGAAGAGCGGCTGTACCACAAGCGGCGGACTAGGCCTGGGGACAAACGCTGCAGACACGGGGAGCTCCGAGCCGCTCCCGAGAGCCACCGCACCTCTGCAGGGCGGCCTCGCTGGGAAACTCAGGGCGCCGGGCCCCGCGTCTCACGGGAAGGTGACGGCAGATCCTACACTGGAGCGAGGTCTCCCAGCACCTCCCTCCAGGGGCAAGTAAGGGACTGGGATGTGGGAAGAAAGGGGAGGGTGATCCCCAGGTAAGGTCAGGAATGGGGGAGGCCCAAGGGAGCCCCAGGAGGAACCGTACCTGCCTCAAGGGCAAGAGGCCGCCGGGGAGCAGTGGGAGCTAAGCTCGCCCTACGAGTCCGCTCCCTAAAGGGGGGCTACGGGCGCTGCCTGAGGAGTCTGGCCCGAGGGGTCCTCCTCCAGAGAGAAGCGCCCCAGGCCGAGAGCCCAGCAAGTCGGACGGTACTCAGCCAAGAAGCTACTGCAGCAGTCCACACGCTCATTAATAACCAACACCGCGAGGCCTCTCCGTGGAGCCCTACAAGTCACCCGTGACCTCAAAGGGGAACCAAAAAGCACACTCTGACCCATTTATTTTTGCAAAAGGAAACGAGTCTTAAGAGTGTGGAGATGAAGGATGGGATAAAAACTCTGAAAGACAGACTCTCACATTGTATGGGAACCACAAGCATGCAAACCCCGCCCCTGTGCTGACGTTAGAGGAAGCCGCCGACCTCAAGGGCCGGGGTAGGTTTCTTCCATCTCTAAGGTGTGGAATAGAACATGTAACCTTATGTATCTAACAGGCCTTCTAAAACAGTGAGCGATACACAGTGCGCGTCATCCTGAAATCAAAGGGAACAGGGAAGAACAGCTACGTCTGCCACACGGAATGAGTTGCTTTGAGATCGAAAGCAGAAAATAAACAAATAAATGAATAAATAAACGGAGGTGGGGGGCAGGAGGAGGAAGAGCTTAAGCAGCCTTTTCTGAACCGAAGGACTAGCCTCTCGAAGGAGAACACGGCTCCCCAGAGCGCAGGCAGGGCCTGACTGGGCACCGCTGCTCTTCTCCACAGCTCGGGCTCTCTGCGGAGACCCGCGGAGCCTGACCCCGACATAACTACAACTACCCGTAAGTCCAGAGAGAAAGACTTTTCTTAGTGTGGTGATTTTTTTTTCTTCTTTTAACCCTATTCTTTTTCTTTCTTTCTTTTTTTCTTTCTTTGGAAGGGTAGCTGACATACAGTATCAGATTACCTTCAGGTGTGACATAGTGACTCAACATTTGCATACACTGCAAAGTCATCACCACAAATCTACCCACCATCTGTCACCACGCCAAGTTGTTACAATATTATCAACTATGTCCCTTGTGCTGTACATTACACCTCTGTGACTTATTTTATTATAACCGGAGGTTTGTGCCTTTTAATCCCCTTCCTCTATGTTACCTGCCCCCAGATCCCCCCTTGGAAAGGCCTTTAATCACATGTCCAAATACAGCTCTGCAGGAAGAACCACAGAAACTAGCCACCACCAGTGATGGCTTTGGCCTCTCCCTTCAGCCCTGCAAGACTTTTGTGTATCAGGCTCCAAACAATGCGAAAACATCACTTTGATGAGGACTCCCGGACCCTCGCCTTCCCCTAGCAGGCCTGGGGAAAGTGAGCCCGAGACAGCCATGGGCCTGCACTGGCCCCCACAGCGTGGGGACCCACTAGCAAACAGGCTTCTTCCCTCTGCCCGCAGTCCCCTACCGTCCCCCGGTCTTCGTGCAGGGATTCCGGGGCTGCCGTCACTCCCAGCACGTAGATACCTGTCCTGAGATAAGGGTCATTAATGAAAGCAGCACCGATGACCCTGTACGCATGCGGTGCTGACAGTCTGCCACGTGCTGGGCTAAGACACATCTCATTGGATCTTCTCAGGTCCTCTAAAAGATGATCAGAGCCTCATCTTTTTTAAGATTTATTTATATGAGAGACAGACAGAGAGGGAGAGGCAGAGGGAGAGAATCCCCAAGCAGACTCCACCCTGAGTGCAGAGCCTGATGTGGCGTTGGTCCCACCATCCTGAGATCATGACTTGAGTCAAACCAAGAGTTGGATGCTGAAGTGACTAAGCCACGCAGGTGCTCCAGATCACACCCTCATGTTTTAGACGGCATTCTCAGACAGGCCAAGTCCTTCAGCTTTGCCCAATGCCACACACACATCAGGTAAGAAATGAAGCTAGAACTAGAACTCAGATCTGCGTGACTAAAGTCTGGCCACCGCCCCACTGTCTCTGTTAAAATGCAGAGCAAAAGCACAGCACAATGCATGGGGCAGGGAGGCTAAAAGTTCTTCCGACGTGACACTCAACGACACCCTGCCAAGGGCCCACACCCCTGGGTGTAGCCAACTGCCTGGCACCTGCACCCGCCTGCCTCCTGAATTCATCTCTCGCTTACACTGTAACACTAGCCTCTTACAGGTCTCTGTGGCCAAGCCCATCACTCCCGCCCACATCTGCCCCAGCCCATCGGGCTCCACCACGAACAACGGCGCCTAGTCCCTCAGACAGGTGTCCTCGCCTGCCTCCTCGCCCTGTCCCTCTATCTCCCCCACCCCACCCCTTACCTGCAGTACTTGAGTCACTTGTTCAGTAACCAGTGTTCTCTAAAAGCCTGGCCTGGGTTTCACCTCTTCCTGGTCCTCCCGGCTGTACTATTCCCCGCTCTGTACCACCACTTCTACCACTGGATCTCACTGCACTGCAAGACTTGCTCACACACTGGCTTTCCTCCTGGATAACAGGCTCCTTGAGGCACCCTGTCCTATTTCTATTTGTGTCCCCAACTGCCAGCCCAGAACCCAGCACACAGCAGGCTCTCAGCACAGGGTGCTCATGAGCTCCCAGGGAAAAGCATTCCCTCCTTCGGGCGGCTCTTAGGTCAGAATTTGCATTGCCGAAGCTCCTACCCAAGTTTCTAGCTCATGTCTAAGACCCGTCTCAGGTGAGAGACCACCATTAAAGATCTGGTCACAGTGGTTTGAACACACAACAGATTCCTTTGGCAGTCGAGCAATACTCTACTGTTGAATGCTTAAAACTCAACTGTTCTCAAGATTTCTTTTCCTTAAGCCAGAAAACTGCTGGCTTTTAGAAATGAGTAATAGGCACAGAGATACAACGCAGGCCAAATTTCCGAACACATCCGTCAATTAGCCCCAGGGAGAACAAGCACATGGAGCATAACCTTCAAAGGCGGGGGAGGGGGGGAGGGGGTTTGGGGTGCTACGTTCATAGAAACGGTCCGTGAAGCCACACCCAGTTAAGACGGTCACCTTCAGCTCCTTCCATCCTCCCGCCTCATTTTCCCACCTCCACTCTCCTTCCCCACCACATGGACAGTCAGCCTGTACACATGGAGGTATAACATGCGCGGCCCGCTAAGTGCTTGGGCAGCACTTTCAGAAAGACGCCAGCCCTCACGGAGCCTCCCAGGCTCCTTCCCAGTCACAGCCATCCCCAGCAAGGCTCCGTGGTGTCGACCCCAGCGCCGTCACTTAGTTTGGTCTGTTCGCGAACTTCCCATCATGAACACGCAGGCTTCTTTTGCTCAACACAAGGTCTCTGCACAGCTCACAGGGTGGTCCCACCTCTCCAGCACAGCCCTCGAGGTCCTTCATGCCCCACCCCATTTTACCCGCCTGCCTTCACTCAACCCATCACCCCCCCCTTTTTTTTAATTTATTTATTTGACAGAGACCACAATTAGCCGGGGGGCCGCCGGGGGGGGGGGGGGGCAGGCTCCCTGCTGAGCAGAGAGCCCAATTTGGGGCTGGATCCCAGGACCCTGAGATCATGACCTGAGACGAAGGCAGAGGCTTAACCCACTGAGTCACCCGGGGGCCCCTACCCATCACCCCTTTACACGGCATACTCCCGGGATCTGCTCGCTCCCCCCCATTTACTGGAAAGAAGCTATCCTCCACCACCCCCTTTGTCTCCTCCTGACAAAATGTTTCACAAACTTAAAGACGCAGCCAAAACATCCCCAATGTCCTTGAGAAAATTCTAGGCTCCTCTATTCATTTCATAGACTGAACCCATGAAAGTCAGTAAGAACAAGCCAAGTTCAAGGTGATTACCAGATGCTAAATTCTTGGCTTACCTTGAGATTCAGTCTTTTGCAATTCTCTTTGGACTGTTTCCCTCCCACAGGGATACAGACCCTACTGGAGAGAAAGCGGCTTGCTTGGGAAAGGCAGTAAGAAACTTACATATAGACGTTAACTCCGTCCACCTTAAGGTGAGGCGGTTGTCTGTCCTTGTCCCTCATGAATGTACCTCCAGAGGGTACAGAATCTTAGGTCCAGGCCAGGTCTTAATCTGTCCTCCCAGAAACCGGGTTTGCACTGACCCCCTCCCAGAAAGCTCCCCAACTGCCCTGAACTCGCTCTGCCTGGGAGTCCCCCCCAGGCTCAGGCCCCCGTGCACTGAATCAGAGGGAGTCACAGGCTTATCACCCAGCCTTTAGTTGGAGG